CGAATATGCAACATTTTTATATGCATTTTAAACTATTGGGGCTCTTACAATCAGGGGGTCTTACAGTCAGGGGTTCTTACACTAAGGGCTTCTTACAATCAGGGTTTTTACAATCAGTGTTTCTTACAATCAGGGGTCTGAAAATCACGGGTGTTACAATCAGGGGTTCTTGCAACCAGGGATTCTTACAATCAGGGGTTCTTACAACCAGGGATTCTTACAATCAGGGTTTCTTACAATATGTTAATTGACCACTCCCCATGGAGGCTTTTCAGGGCCAACTCCCACACAGCAACCACCCCAGGGGAGGACATCCATCACACAGTAATCTTGTGCGTGGGAAATTAACGTCTCCTACCCCTAACCCTGCCTTGTCTTAAAACCTTCACACTCAAGGTATTGAGAATTTCTTGGATTTATTTGGATTTCAGGGTTATTTAATTTGGCTCAAATTCAATTCCCAGAAATTCCCAAGAATCCCACCCTTACTAAGTTTGTACAGCTGAGAATTCCTAAGAATTCCAAGTCCTCACAAAACTGGAACCTTCCTTTCCCAGAAATTCCCAGTAATTCCAAGCTTTTCATATCAGAGCTTATTTGCATAGTTGAGAAATTCTGAGAATTCCTAGGAATTCCCAGAAAACTGGGAATTCAGTTTGCAAGGGTAATCCTGGGTGGGCAAGATGCATGGGCCTATCTTGCCTGCTCAGGTAGCCAATTAGAACGCATGATTCATTTCATCTTGCCCATGGGCGTTGCGAGAAATGTAGTAATATGTTTTATTATATGCTGAGGTAGTCCTGAGGTAAATCTAGTCCTCTGGTTGATTATTGCTTGATCAGGATTTTGCCATACAGAAGGTTTCTACAGAAATGGTCATGAGCTGTGTATTTTTGTTCACCAAAGCCAGCAAAATAAAACTAAACAGATCTTGCTTGAGCCAACTGGGGAATATTGCCCCCTTGGTGCTTTTTTTAATGGAACTTGCTGCACTTGGTCTGTCATAGCCTTCAGGCAGTATTTCCCAGTACTGCCCTTGCACTTGGTTAGTATGAAGTTAATATCAAATATGGGGGTTAATGCCTCTCACTTTTACATCATACACTTTGCAGTTTTGTAGACTGTATGTGTAACAATAATCTTGAAAGCTTGACAGCTCTGCTCTACATGAAAATTTCTACAAGAAAAAGTGTAGTGCTAACCAACAACATTTACAAATTTCATTAAAACCTTGTATGCAAAGGATTTGTAAGAGGTTAGGCTTTTTGGACTGTTTGTTCACTGTTTTTTTTTTCTTGCAGAAAGATGCAGATGTTGATTCAGCAACTGAAAATTACATCTAGCCCAAAATTGTGATAGCTGGGGAACTGTTTGACATTGATCTTATGTTTATAGTAACTGATGGAATTGTCAATTGGGCATGGCAGACTATTGTCACTGTTTCCTCCCTTTTTACTTGGAAAGTGCCTGAGTGTTTATGTGGTAAAAATAATTTTAACAGGAGCAGCATGAGTGCTTGTATTCTTCAGTCCACTCAATGCTGCTTTACAAGACTCTTTGCTCTTCAAGTGCATAAATCAAAGAAGGTCTTTCTTGTGCATATGCAGGACCATTAATTTTGTTGCCTTTGTGTTATTTTGTTTTAAAGAAAGTACATGTGGATTATAAGCTGCCTCAGTCCTGCAGTGGCAAAAATATCACATACATGTGGTAAATCACTGAAAAGGGAAACTAATTCATTTGATAAACTAATATCAATTGCCCATACACCAATTGATATTCCTGATGATGTGAGAATACCTACAATACCTCTCCACGTTGTCACACACTTTCTTTCTAAGCTTAAGAGGACTGCTTGTGGCCCAGATGAGCTACCATACTGGCTTTTTAGAGAATTTGCCCATGATCTTGCCCCTGTTGTCACCGATGTGTTTAACAGCTTGCTGCAACAACGTAAAGTACCATCCTCTTGGAAGATGGCAGACATCAAGCCTATACCTAAGGAGTCTCCATTGACTTGCTGTACCCAGCTTCGGCCAGTTTCTTTAACTGCTATTATCATGAGACTTTTTGAACGATTGGTCTATAGGTTTGAACTTTCCAGTATTTGCAATGATTATATTGACTTAGATCAGTTTGCCTATCGTGGTGGCCATACCTCTACAATGGCATTAATTAAATGTCAACACACATGGCTAAAGTGGCTTGATGGTAACGCCGATTTTGTCAGAATTTTTTCCTTTCACTTTAGTAAGCTAGGCCTTCAACTCTGTATCACACAATTCCCTCTGTAGTAAATTAAAGCAAGTTAACAATCCATATATTATTAATTGGCTTATCGGTTTTTTAAATCATATAAAGCAGAGAGTTGTTGTCGATGGTCATAGTACTGAATATGTTTCTATAAATAGGGGTGTTCCTCAAGGTAAAGTCCTGGGGCCGGTCTTATTTTCTATTTTTATTAACGATATCAAAGCTGTTAATACTAATAAGAATCTTCTAATTANAGGTCATAGGGAGGAAAGAAAAACTGAAACTATTGGGTGTTACCTTTGAGCAAGTGCCAGTTAATTGGGACACTCATATTGATTATCTACTTAGTAAGGCTAGCAGTTGGTTGTATATTTTAAGATATGTAAATATTATGGCTACTCTATTGAGAATTTGAACTTACTTTTTCAAAGTTTGATTCTTTCAGTTTTTACATATGCTATTGAGGTCTGGGGGTGTGCTTTTTATACTAAATATTTAAGTAGAATTGATAAGCTCTTTGCCAGGTGTTATAAGCTGGGTTACTGCTTTAAGCAGCACAGTATCTTGGATATCCGTCGTAATAGAGGTAAGAAATTATGGCAAAGGATCTCTTCCACCAACACTGCGTTGAGCGATCTTTTACGTTCCCAGAGAATACGGCAGTTGAAAAACTAGGTCGCATAATTATATTTTACCTAAGGTTCAGACAAACCATTTTAAATCAGTTTTCATTAATAGATGCCTTTTCAATAGTAATTAAAACCTTTTCTTTTTCCTTATTCATTCTATTCATGTCAATTGTTGCACGTCTATTTGCACAATAATTCTTAATAAAGACCTTAACTAACTAATTAACTAACTAATCTTGAACTGTCAATTTGGCACAATTTCTAGCAATGTTTATTTTGGGAATAGAAAATAGTTGCATTCATCATATGTATATTTTTCCTGTTACTTCTTATGTTTTTGTTTATGTTATACCACAAGATCCTTCATAACTGTCAAAACACTCTGGAGGGTTTATACATATACATATATAGAGCCCAGTAAATGAGTGTTTGAAAGATATAGTTTGAGGTATATATGATATAGTTTGAGGTCAATATGTGACTGTAAGGGGTGAAATCAGAACACAGAGGAAAGACCTTCTACTTCTGAAATAGTACAAATGGAATTGAATTCGCTCTCTTAAGAGGGGTCATTTATGAGAGAGCTGAGATTTTGGGGGTTAATTTGGCCCCTTTAAATTTCAAAGTGGCTTTAGTATCTATATTTACCCTTAATTTACATGACCCAATTTGGCCTTTACAATTGGGTTGACTTAGCCCCAAAATTGGCACCTAAAACAGCCCCATTTCATTGGGGCTGAATTGACCCCAAGCCAGTATCAAACTGGAATCATGCGTTTTGGCCCCATTTTTGGGGCCAAATCTGCTATTTTCATTTTACAGTGTATCAAGAGGAAATCGCACTGTGGTTGAAACGAGATGTCTTCCCTTTAGAAGCAAATCTTTCAATTATCAATAAGTTTAGAATTGAACAATAAATTGTTAGGAACATACTTAGCTGAAATGTACGATAATGAGACGACTTTATGGCTTGGTTTATCCTATTTCATCTGTTTGCTCTCCTCTATGTTACCGGATAATTAAGACGGTGACACGAAGGAATGAACCATTTGACAAATTTTTGTTTCCTAAATACCTATTATTTTAAGGAAAAGTATTCACAATAGGTATGAAAACATCTTTAACGATGTATTCCAATGTAAAAGCCTTGTGGTTTCTGGAGGCTTCCCAGCCAAGTAGATAATTCAACATTATACATTTTTTTAAGCTTATTTACTTGTTTTATTCAGTATTTGGAATGTTTGTATCGTCCTGCTATTTTCTTCTAGTCCTGTAATTTTCAAAGGATATGTACTCCATATAACTAGCAATTAGCGAAAATTATATTAAATAAAATAAACATCTTAAAGCTAAATAACATGATGTGATAGTAACACTGCTGTAATGTTCAAGGTCAGCGGTCGAGTTATCGTAGGACATGCGCATTAGGGGTGAGAAACAAAGCACATGGCGAATGTTAGTTGTAATGATAGCGATCGACCAGTTCCAGTTTCTACACATTTAGTCTCTCGTGAGGACATCATATCTCCTTTGGAAAATTTTTCATCCGATAAAATAGCCTGAAGTTTTTCTTAAATCCCTGTTAACGCAATTTCTTACAACTGAGTTTGTTATCCCTCGAGATCGATCAGCATTATCATTCTTTCTGGGTATGCATAATCCTTAATCTTGCACATTTCGGCAGCGTAATAGATAAATAAGCAATTAACGTACGTAATGATTTTAAATATCTTGAAAACTCTAACTCAAATTAAACGCCAATGTCACTTGTTATTGGTTAATACGAACTAAATTCGCTGAAAAGTCTAACCTCAGTCAAAATAATCCTTTGTTTCATAACCACATGAAAGATGAACAATTTAAGTGATGGGTCGTTGATGTATTCACAAATAGTTCTTGTAGGTGATTGTATACTTGAAGGAAAATGGAAGGCAACTGTATCTTTACAATATTATAAACACTCTACGATCGTCAAGACAGCTAAGTGAAACAGTACGCTTGGGTAGCACTCTAGAAATTGCGTGACCTTTCTTATAGTGAGTGTTTTCTAGGAATCGAAAAAACCGGCCGTAAGGTCATTTTTAAGAACTCTTTTTGTGCGTCCAAACGTTCAGTTCATCCAGCAGTCCAAGATTCCGCCTCGAATCATAAGCAATGTCTGGGAAGAAGCGCATCTATCTCTTAAACTGCGATAAAACTTGCGATCTTACCATCGTTGACGCTTTGATTCGAGCGAGTAGAAATTGCGTGACCTTTCTTATAGTGAGCATTCTAGGAATTGAAAAAAACGGCCCTAAGGTCATTTTTAAGAACTCTTTTTGTGCATCCAAACGAGTTTGAAGGAAGTTCAGTTCATCCAGCAGTCGAAATTTCCGCTTCGAGTCATAAGCAATGTCCGGGAAGAAGCGCATCCATCTCTTCAACTGCGATAAAACTTGCGATCTTACCATCGTTGACGCTTTGATTCAATCCGTCCAAAAGAAAATACTTTTCAATTTCACGGTATCGAGACATTATTTCAATCTCCGTGAAATGTCTCGATTCTGCGACAATACCATTTCTAAACTTCGTTTTGATTTCGCTTTCCTTTTGGTTAATGCCGAAGAATCTTGTCTATTATTCAATGAAAGTACAGCGGAAAGCGGATACACCAAAGTTTACAGAGCATTGATGGACGCTACTGGTAAGTCTTCTCCAATGACTCAATAAGGTTGTAAATAGGCGCCATCGCTCGAAAAAAGGTTAAACAGCGTGATTTTAGCTACGATTTGATAAAAGAAAGAAAAGCGATAAACGCTGTTTCGCTTTCGTACCCTGAATTCGCGGATTGACAATCAAGGTAGTACGAAGAATCGGCATTGTAAATGAAGCGTCATGAAATGCTCCACTTAGTAGAGGCCAAATTAGTTGACTTTGCATGTCATTAAGTCGAGCTAGAAATCCACCTAAAAGCAAGTTCAGGTAGTTTCCATTCTATTCGCCACTTGTTCCTTGAAAATAAAAACTCTAAACAACGCTTAACAACTTGCACAAAAAGTAATATATTACATTACATGAAGGACAATTAAGTGTTCTCGAATTACAAAGTTTTGGACACCGGCTTATCACGGTTTCTTGTTGTTCGAGGTTGAAATGGAGCTACCTAGATTTTTCTCTTGCTCACAATAAGTGTTACTTTTCGATACAGCTTTTGATGCATTAGTTATCCTTCAACAGTAGGTTTGATTGTGCCGAGAGCCGGATAGTGAGGTCGTTAGCAAAATAAAACAATATTTCCGATAAGGTATTTGTTATAAGCCCTGAAAATATGAGACATTCATCAGTGGCCTAACGGTTTAGTTCCTCAACATTGTTTTTAAGATGAGAAGGTCACTGTGGTTATTGGTGGAGATAGTCATTACAAAAACCAAGCAGAGGGGGATCAAAATGTCTTGTCCCGCTGGGCACTTCGGATTGTTAGCTCCCAGCTAAAGGAGGAGTGCCGTGATGGAAGAAAAGGCTTTGTATTTTCTTGGAATGAAAAGCACCGAGCAATCCATGAGAAGGCACTGTTGCATTTCCTTGATCCGGAGAAAGCAGGAGTCAAATTTGTTTGTCAGTCAGAGAGGTTAGCGAAACCGGAAGCAGCTGCTGTTGTTGAGAAGGTAAAATGTTAATGTCGAACACGTAGCACTGAGTCATAAGATGTATATATATATCTTAAAAGGCTGCCTAATGTTTTCGTAATTTAAGACATTTCTTTCTATTCTTCGCAGTCGTTTTCAGCACTTGACATGGGAGCTGGCGATGTTGTGGATTCTGTGACCCAGGAAGACACAGAAGGTAATGAGTTAAGCGAATATGACGATTTTCTTAGGCAAGGAGGTGATGAGCTTCCTGCTCTGGTGAAAGAATGACATGAGTAGGTTCAGATCATCTCATGATCACAGTCTGGAATCGATTCTGATAAATTGAACAGTTGATGATTTTTGTTGTTACTGTCAGCCTTTTGTTGGGAGTGAATGTCTTATGTTTTCAAAGATTGTGTTTCTTCCTACTTTGAGTGGCAAAAGGTATTTGAATGCGAGAGATACTCCCAAACCACTATAACAACAGGAAGCGTGACAAAAGAATTATGTTATTAAACAGGCACACAAATCAATTTCAAACTTATTAATGATATCAAAATCATAGTTATAGAAATTATACCGTTAAAAACGACTTTTCAAATTAGTAATGTGCATAGTGTTTGGGAGGAAATGCTCTGTAATGATATGGTTTAGAAGTGCATGTCGTCCTTGATTTTGATCACATATCCACTGTATGTCCAATGTTCAGTATTTGTCTTCTCAGGCATGGTGGATTTCATGGTTCTCTGTTGTGACCAATCAGCCGCAACAGTTATTAGCGATATGTACCCCTTGTCAGGCACGCGTGCTCCAGCAGACATACATGTTGGTAGTCCCGTAGAGCTGAAATCTCATCTGCTAGAGGGTACCTCATTGTCTTTGTGTGCAATTGGGCTGCAGGCGAGTGATCTAAAAGAAATTGCACTGTCAGACGAATGGGGGGAATCTGACTTTGGAGATCTATTGAGGACTGCTCAAAAAGCAGCTGGTAAGAAAAGTCACAGAAAATG